TAGAGTGTGTGCATCAACCTCATTTTACAAAAAAGAAAATATTTGACAAAATCTATCAAAACTTAATCTATCAATGCAATCTTACATTCCTTCTCAAATAGAAAATAACGACCCTTTTCATATTAGATAAAATTTACGGAGTATTTATATGATATATAAAATCTTAACTCAAAATTTTGATTTTCCTTTAGAATCTGTATTAGAATTAATCTCAATTATCGCTCCTCATATATAATTGGTGTCTCTGCCACTAATATTTGGAAAACTATAATGGATCTTCAATACTATCTTTTCTAAAATAATGTCACAAATGTAGAAAAGAGAAGATGCAATAGATCTTATGAAAAATGATGATGATGAGACAGAAATAGCAATTTTGTTTAGAATAAGGTCACTCTTGAACGATGAAATATAAAAAACAGGACTAATATTATCTCTTTGTTTACAACCATGTACTTGATATTTTGAGTATTTTAGATGTGTATATGATATGTACCTATTATATTGCAGATGTCCATTTTTTCAGAGTAGAGATGCTATAATATGCTAAAATTTATTTTTGACACGTGAAACATGTTGGAACCTTCAAAGCACTAAGTATATGCGCTTAATATAATTAAATGTCTAAAAATCTATCAAAAGATCGAATGTGCTGCAAAAATAAATAAAGAACAAATACTAATAGATATGAGTACCCCAATCATCCTAGAGGTAAAGAGAAGCGATGATTGCGTAAGATATTAGATTGTAAATTATTAAAAAAATTAGAAGAGACAAATCTTCAAATAAGAAAATTCATATCTAAATTTAAAATTAATTATTAATTTGAGATAATGGTTAACTTATTTATAGATATTGAAACAAAATGTGAATAGACTGATAAATTTAGAATAATAAATGGTATAATCATAGAATGACAAATAAAGTTTGACATCCACCTCTTCTAGATAAGCTAAAAGTAGATACCTTCCTCCAAAATCTTCACAAGATTTAATAATTTTTATGCAGAGGAATTATATTCAGTATGTCAACTCTAAACAGTAGTGATGAAAGAGGATTACATTTTCTTTTGATCCTCAAGCATCAGATTTATGAATAAAGAAATGTTATTTATTAGTGAATTGTATAGGAATTCAAAACTTAGTTACCAGATTGTAAATTGTGTTATAAAGAATAAGCAGATTACAAAAATTAGAATAACCTTATTCAAATTTTAATTGTCAATACTCAAAATATCTAAATAAGATATCAAATTCTTATAATAAATATTTTTAGACAAAGTTATGAGATTAATCAATTTATTGCTTTTGAACTTTAATTAATTTAGAAGTTTTAAGACCCTTTTTAATAATTTTATTTATTTAATTATTTCATCAGTATCGGTGGCTTGAAGGTTCAACTAATGAAGTAAATCTAAAAGTAGTCTTACTCAATTCTCAAGCCATATAATTATAATACCATTCTTAGCTAGGATCAAGCATTAACTACTATGTATTTGTATCATTTTTTCTAAATCTGCCATTTTCTATTATAGTTCAATTTTTTTTTATAAAGAATTTCATTTTGATATTTGGTAGCATCATCCTTGTTGCTTTCCTAACCTGTACAAGTATTTGAATTCCATGACCAAATAAGAATACAACTTAATCAAAATTTAGTCTAGTAATTACTCTTAATACAGCGTTTTACAATTTTTTTTTTTATTTTTTAAATTCAATCTAAATATTCTTAAGCCATTCTTATATTCTAGTTAAACTATTTCTCTCTTTCTATAAAGCTCTAGGATACTTATATATCTATTAGTTCTTATCTATCAGATGACCTTTATTTAAATAATTATAGCAAAGTTTCAAACAGAACCTTCTTTAGTTACTCATTCTATAATCTTTGCAAACTGTCAATATTTTTCGATTACTCTTAAGTTTCCATATTTTCTCTTTACTTGTAATCTCTTTGTGGTTCGATTCTTAATCAAATTATTTCTATATCTCAGAAGCCATTTCATTCACTAGTCAAATAGTTGATTTCATTTTACTATTATCCTCAATACATACTTACCATCCTTTGTATTAATCGAAGTTTAATGAGAGATTTTTCATATTTAGGTATTAACACGTAACGATTTTAATATTTTCATAATATTATAACTTATTAATGTACCTTTCAAGCAAGCCCAACCAACTACCAAAAACACT